ACCTAATGGACATACCTACTTATTATAGAAATGCATCCACGTAACAGTACAACACATTTTCAGAAGTTACTCACTGAAACAACAATAGTCAAAATGGCGAAACTGAAAAAGGTGAATACGGCGAGTAAATAAGGAGGCATGATTAAAATAAAGTTATTACTAAAACAACAAATCGGTTTAAATAAGCCCCTAGTGAGCGTAAAACAGGGGAAAAAATTACTCACGACCCGCCCATGAGACACAGAGAACGAAGAAAACTCTCCTACTGCCTGCACAAAGTCGATCGATAAAGCTCGATGTAAACAGCTTCTAATAACCGTTTAACCGGCCGATTCCCGCGCAACACTCTGAACGCTCCATCACCTTTCTTAATCAGTTTAATAACAACACTAAGAAACTGATCTGAGAATCTGAGAGGATTAAAATAAAAAATAGTCATAATATATCTAAATTATTCAACCAACTATGCTTGAATAAATATATATATATATATATATATATATATATATATATATAAATGAATTTAATCTTTAATAAGAATAAAGAACTATTCATCTTTAATAAGAATAATCAATTATATAAAAAGTTATATAAAATAAGTGGTTTCAAAAGTAAACTGCCTTACGCAACCACCATTAGTAATTCCGATACACGAAAAGTGGAATGTAGATGTAAAAATAGGAAAAGAGAAATTACTTGGTCCACACCCCCACCCCGCCTTCTACAAACTGGCAAGTATCAACATCGGACAGTACTTCCTAAACTTAATTACTAAACACTTCAACAAAGACAATCCTCTAAATAAGATATTCAACAGGAAATCAGTCAAAATTAGCTACTCCTGCACTGATAATATGTACCAAATTATTAATTCCCATAACAATCACATTCTAAGTAAATTCCATGGGAGAAAAAAAACAATTTTAACATAGAAACCCCCTGTAATTGTAGAACTAAAGAAAACTGCCCAGTAGAGGGCAAATGCAGATCCACTAGGGTAGTAAACCAGGTAACCATTACCCCTAAAGAAAATACAACAAATCATATTTACATCAGCATTTCTGCAGGAGAATTTAAAAAGAGAATCAATACACGTAGACATTCATTCACCAATTCAAAATTGAAACACCAAACAACCCTTTATAAAGATTTTGGTAATTGAAGGTAAAGAGTTTGAATCCTGAAATAAATTAGAAAATTCTAGGTTTCCGCGAACACCCCCAATAGTTTTAGGGATAGGTGCAAGCTATGTTTAGAAGAAAAGATCAGGATAATAAAATATAAAGATCAATGCAAACTATTAAATCAACAGAGAGAGCTAATCACGAAATGTAGACATAGAAATAAATTCCAAATTACATAAGAATACATGTGCATATATGTAGGGGTGTATGTGTACGGAGAGTGGCATATGTGTATGGACATGTAAATGTACATATATGTATGTATGAAGATATCTACGCTCATAAGTGTGTTGGGCAACATGATTTTATTCCTTGTGTGCTCGGGTATTACCCACAATCTATAAATCTATAACATATTAAATTAATCTTAACGGGTTAAGTTTAAATCCCCCATCACCTGTTAATAATATTGGACAACTTTTGTACAAAAACTATTTACTGTGAATCCCAGAAAACACACACTCGGGGCCTATATAAGAAACACCACATAGTAGGAACTGATATTAAACTACAAACAACAAAGGTTCTGGCTATAAATAAAATCCAACCTCAGACCGCTTCGCCCGGGATAAGATATCTTACGCCCCCACCAATCGCTAGCACAAACCCATTCTCATTATCAAGGCGTCTACCAGAGAAGGACTGACATTGAAAGTAAATTTCAAACAATGCTCCGCGGCAGACACATAGGGGCTGATGATAGCTGCGCACAGAATGTCTTGAAATAGACTATCTCTATGTTGAGGTAATTTTTTATATTTGTTTTCTGTACAAAATACATATGCTCTGTTAAAATAAAAACATCGATCTCTCCGTGAATCAGTTTTAATAATTAATGTTACTACTCTTTTTGTGGTTCAGTTTTAATATTTTATATTACTAGAATCCACCCGGATTATATACCAACGGATCGATTACATGTACTATATATCTATATTTAGTAACGGTAACAATCCGTTGGTATATAATCCAAGTTGATTCTAGTAATATAAAATATTAAAACTGAACCACAAAAAGAGCTCAATGTATTTATTAATACAGAGCAATATAATTAATAAACAATAAAATCCACAATTACCTCATATGGGGAATTGCCTATTTTAGCAGAAGATATCGGTCGTCTGTTTTATCAACCCCGATGTGAAATGAGTTCAGGTCTATATATATTGGAGTGGCAGGAAGTAGAATTTAGCTGTGAAAGATTTTAAAAAAATCAACCCATCGATAAACTAATACAAAATTTATCCATTTCAATGTTTCAGTCAGACGAAAGGCACGAGACAGGGGCTAGGGAAGGGTGGAAGCTATTTGTCGTAAAGCGAAGAAGTTTTATAAAATTAAACCCGTATGACATTAATTTGGTTATATGAAGAATGGAATATTAATTTAAAATAGGAGTAAAAAGAGATCTAAAAATAAATCTAAAGTATATAGATAAAAGGATGTAAGGGATTAAATAAAAGAGAGTTGGGGTGATATTAAGGTAGGGAAATGTTTATAAATTATAATTAATATAGTGTTATAGAGGAGGAAATTAAATATAGACATTAGAATTAGTTATACTGTCGACATTTGAAGAGTTAGAAGGAAGTGAATATTATGGAAATATGGTAGCTAATTAAGTTAAATCTGTACTATGGAAATTTGAATTTGTTTTTATGTCGACATTTTAACACTAATTCATTTCTATATTGTTATTAATATTATTTTTATTTTATATAATTATTATTATAGTGTTATTTTTATTTTTTATATATATATATATATATATATATATATATATATATATTGTTATTATTATTATTATTATTTTATTTTAATTGATTTTTGTTATATACACATTTTCTTCCTGGTGTCAACCAGAAACCTAACGTCAGAAATGCCATCATGCCATTTGTAAAAAATAAATCAAATTAAATAAAAACTAATCAACCTACAATCACACACATTTTACATAGATAAAACCCTTCGTATGGTGTGAGCTCTACTTGCGAGGATAATTTTTTTGTATTTCTTTAAGGCATGAGCTTCAATGAGTTCTTTTACAATCAAACCGAGGGTTCCAACTACAACGGTAATTACTGATGTCTTCATGTGCCACATTTTTTTAGATTTCAACCCCCCCCCCTCAGAGTAGTACAAATAAAATAATTTAAAAAATATTATTTTACTTTAGTTCTGTAGCCATTGGGGGAAGGGCTTACGGCCATATCACGTTAAAACACCGATTCCGATAGGATCACCGAAGTTAAGCAACGGCGAACCTGGTTAATAGATGGATGACCGCTTGGATTATCAGATTCTGTAAGTTTGGATGTGCGGATGTTAAAACGAGCTTACTTCCATACCCCGTTACAAAACCGGTTCCAATACGATCACCGAAGTTAAGCAACGTCGAGCCTGGTCACTACATTGATGGGTAACCGCTTAGTATATCATGTTCTATTATTATTATTTTTAAATATGTATAATAAAATATGTGGTAAACTTTTTACACCGACATACAGTGTTAAATATATATATGTATATATGCGTGTATCTATACACTTCGAGCAGATGAAATACGTCAGCCTGGGATGGGAGTTCATCTAAGAGAAGGAAAAATCTGATTTTAAAGTTCCGCTGCCTTGCGGCCATTTCCAATCATGGGAAAGGCTTCGGGTGTAAGCCCTGAGGACAAAACCAGAGCTGGAGTCTCTAAGACAGTCTGCAGAAATTCAAATTCCGAATTGATAATTCACTTAATGGCTTGAAAGAAGTCTTTAGCCTTGGGTGGCAGTCTTTCTAGAGATGGTGTCTCGACAAAAACACCCGGATGTAGGGTTGGCGTGCCACATTTTGTATCAGCTACCGAAAGAACTATAGTTCCGACGATAGTTCCGACCAACCAACCGGAGGTCGAAGGATGATGATGATGATGATGATAGCAAGTGCTCTAAGCTTGGATGTGCGGGTGGTGTCATGAATATTGGCTCGGAATTCTTAATCGGGGAGCCGAGTTCCAATTCCCGTTGGGTTCATTATATTCACTTACGCGCAAATGCCCCTGGAAAATGTATTCATCCATTTATTCTCCCCAACTATGCGTTAATTATTGGTTAATTAGCAAGGCTTGTATCACTAAAACATTATTATTACCCCACCTCCACAACAAAATTCTTACAATCTAAAAATATTTTCTGCCTTTAAATAACCTGCAAAAGTTGATAATCCAGAGAAAACGAATCAATCAATCAATTCAATAAGTCGGTATTTGAATAAAACTGTTTGTATCGCTTTGTTCTACCTTTCGTTTCTTTGTTTTCACGTACAGATCTATTATAATGGAGCGTGACTGAACAGTTAGAATATTCAACGTTCGAGCCATGTAACCCGGGTTCAAATCCTGTTCGTCTTTTCATTGCCATATTACAATGTTTCTGTTTATTATTCTATTTAGAATTGCTTTATTTACCTGGGTATTTTCTTCTCCGCCCCCACCCCCTGCTGATAGTGAGAGATTAACATCGTGTATCTCGAATGAAAGTGCCCCAGATCGAACCTCACGTCTTCTCTGCGGGGAAGCCATAGTTCTCACCACTGTGTTATAACCGCAAGTTCTTCACTGTTCAATGTTGCCAATCCTCCAATGACGTGAAAGTCTGAATGAACGCAAAATAAACAAATAAATTAAAAAAAAAGGACGAAACTAAAAGGCAAGCGAAAAAATTTATAATGGAAGCATGAACAGGGAATTTTTTTTTTTTAATAATACGTCAACGAAAAGAAGCAAATAAAATGCACCCTCCCCATTACCGAAAACACTTCTCAAGAAACGTAGAGAATAGAGAGAATATTTCTTCGCGTTAAAGCGCGTTTGTTTTGGGATTTTGGGTTTGTTTTTTGTTTTTTTGGGGGGGGTCCTTGTTTTCTTCTTTTTTTGTGAATGATTCATTTTGGTTGTGGAGTGGCTGAAGAGATTTAAGAAAACAAAAATTCTTCTGGATAAAAAAAGAAAAGATAGATAGATAGATAGATAGATAGATAGATAGATATCACAGGACTGGGGCAGATAGAGAGAGATTATCAAAAAAAAAGAAGCAGCTATGAAAAGAATAAGATAGATAGATAGATAGATAGATAGATAGATAGATAGATAGATAGATAGATAGATAAAGATTGAAACAGATAGATAGACATACATACAGATACGAACAGAATTAGATAGATAGATAGATAGATAGATAGATAGATAGATAGATACGAACAGAATTAGATAGATAGATAGATAGATAGATAGATAGATAGATAGATAGATAGATAGATACGAACAGAATTAGATAGATAGATAGATAGATAGATAGATAGATAGATAGATGCATACATACATACATACATACATACATAGGGAGAGAAAGAGTGAGACAGAGATAGAGTGAAAGTGAGAGAAAGAGTCTTAGAGAAAGAGATAAATAAGGAGAGAAAAAGTGAAACAGAGATAGTGAAATTGAGAGGTAAGGAGAGAGTCTGAGAGAGAGAAATTGGGATGGAAAGAGAGAATGAGAGAGAGTGAGTGTGAAAGAGAGATAAATAGGGAGAGAAAAGAGTGAGACATACAGAATGAAAGTGAGAGAGTCCGAGAGAGAGAGATAAATAGAGAGAGAAAGAATGAGACAGAGATAGTGATTGAAAGTGAGAGAAAGTCTGTGAGAGAGAGAAAGGTAAATAGGGAGAGAAATAGAGAGACATAGAGAGTGAAAATGAGATAAAGTGTCTCAGAGAGAGAGAGAGGGGTGGGTAAATAGAGAGAGAAAGAGTGAGATAGAGATAGGGAGTGAAAATGAGAGAGAGAGAGAATCTGAGAGAGTGAAAGAGAGAGAGAGAGAGAGACTGTTTCATTCACTTCGTGTTTTTCTTCAAAGATAAACACTTGACTTTTTTTTTCGGGGTTTCCGGGATTTCGAATATCATTTTTATCCGAATCATGAGCGGATCAATTTCCGTTCTTCAGTTACCTCTCCACTCCCCCCCACCACCACCACTAACGATCACCTCTTTCTACATACTCTTTTCTCCTGAACCCTTCCTCTCTCTTCAGTATCCGAGATCCGACTCCCTTGCAAATGAAGAACTTCGGAAAAGGTCTCGGCCCAACCAAGAAGCTTTTCCGAAAAATAAAATCCGATGTTTGGTTTTTTGGACAGATTTTGGGAAGTGTGTTGAATAGAGAATTTTTCAACACTTTTTACCAGTTTTCCCTGTCTCTCCTTTACTCTTTCCCACTTTCTATCATCCTCTCACTCTATCAAATTAGCCACCTCACTTTATATTTCTCAGACTCACTCCTCTTTTCTCTCCCTCTCTTCTTTTATCAACCTCTCCTTTTCTATCTAGCTCTCTTTAATCTAGGTCGGCCAAATCACCACATAAGACTCTTTGGCCTTTAATATGCGGCTCATGGAAATATATTGGCTGATCCCCTTTTTTCATCACAATTAACATAAAAAATAAATGAGAAAAATTTCAAGCTTTATAATTATTTACTGGATTAAAATGTAAGTTTAATGTTCATGGTTAGTAAAAAAATATCTAAGAATTTAAGTCCTAATTTTAATGCTAGATCTGTGTGAGGCATTGTTCTTTGGTGTTTAGGGAAGGAATGGTGGGAGAATTAAAGAAATTTCCGGTCAGCAAGAGTCACAGAGGAATGTCAGAATTTTTTAATATGTAGACAATTCGTCGTAATCTCAACTCTCTTCTTTAACAGAGGAAAAAAAAATTACATCTTCATATTTAAGGCTGACACGATAAGCTAAGTAGGACTAAAATTGTATCTGGACTGACGATCATTTGACTCTAGGGTGAAATTTATGTAGCACTGGTTTTATATTTTATTCTCTACTAGCAGTAGAGCCCGGCGTTGCCCGGGGATGTAACAGTAAGAGATAGATCAAGTATCGATCATCGTAAAGACTGAAACATAAAATTGCAAAGATTATTCTTTAAGGTTGACGGACACGCATGTCTTAATTAGTTTTATTTTTTATTTTATTTTATTTTTTTTACGAATTGGTCAAACCCAAACTCAAACAAAAACATTGTTTTCAATCGTTATGAGTCTACCGATTAAATAGAATTTTATTATAAACAATTGTCTTGTAAATGGAATTTTTAAAGCGTTCTGATGTAAAAATAAAGAAAAAAGTGTGCAAGACAATAAGAAACACTACCTGCCAAAAAAAGTGAAGTTTTGTTGAAATCGGTTGAAAAATGTAGGAAATTCGATCCCATATATAAACGAACACACACACACACACACACACGCACACACACACACACACAACCTGGGTTTTATAATAAATATAACTCGATATGAGTTGTCCCCCTTTCATTCTCGCGATACCTCTTAATTGTGTTTTCAAATTGATTTCATGCAAAATTTTTGCCACTGTCAGAACCACTGCAAGGTAATTTAACGTAGTCCTGTGAAGTTTTGTTGAAATCGGTTAAAATAGTAATCGTATATTAATCCGAATAGAGAAATAGTATAGTGAAGAGAGTAGAGAATATCGGTCCGTATAGTAATAGAGGATAGACTAGAAATAGAGATCCGAATAGTAATAGAGGATAGAATAGAATAGAAATGCGATCAATCTAGACGTCACGCGATTTCCTATATATGCGTTTCCTCTATGGTTACATGATCCACTTAAATTCAATAATGGGATCGCCCGTGTTTGCTCACTGGCGATCTATGTTCTAACCCAAGAGCCGGCAGCGACAATATATTCCTATAAAACAGAAAGTTAAAAACTTGAGGAATTAGTTATAGGTGACATGTACCAGTTAATTGATTAAACAAATATGTATCTCTATTATTTACAGTGAAACCAATATCCTCATCTGTTATTATGACAATATTACAGCAATTGTACCTCTCCAGTTTTCTTTAAGAATTTGTCTATCTGGATAGCCTTCAGGAAACTTCAAACTGAATTATTTCTTTAATCTAAGCATGGAGATCATTCTCATTCTGCTGCTCATATTTAGGGATAGTTTGTTTTGTTCTTTACAATACTTCTCAATTATTGCTCATCCTGTTTCCACTGAACCTGAGTCGGTCATACACAGCCCATCCTAGAAATTCAGACAGAAAAAATCTTATCATTAAACAATGTTTTGCCAGTAGAGAATAACAAAATGAGGAAAGCTCTTCTATTTCACCAGTTCAGACATTTACAACTAAAACCCGCCATGCCATATAGACACAGAGGTGAACCATCCTCATTCCCTTCGTATTACATTGCTTAGAAAGAAAGTTCTTTTCCCGCAGCTTCTTTCCAAGTACCGCTACTTTATTGAATAGGCTCCCGACCTCCCTGAATACGTCACGCTTAACCTCTTCAGGTCAAGGGTCAACTGTTACCTATCCTACATATCCTCGTAATAGACACTTACTTCCTTCTCCTACTTCCATGCAACAACCATATTTATTAACCGTCTAATTTTTCTGACTTCTGGGCCTTTGTTATGGTCCAAGGTTAGGACCATGGAAGAACAACATGGAACACAAGAGTAGAAAGATCAAAGTATATATTACACGAAAAATAGTACAAGAAGTGGAAGGTGTTAGTATGACTGTCAGACTGGTTTGGAGTGAACGACTATCCGCTCGACTCAATTCAATACCATCCCAATACCGATATTTAACAGTCCCCCCCACGAGGAATGTATGTGGCACAAGGCCGAGTTTAACGTGGGTTTCTCCGAGCCCGTAGGCTCGGCCAAAATATACCCTTTGAACTCGCCTAAACGGGTTCAGGGCCTGTCTACCTCCCCGGACGAAATTTTGCCCTTCGGCAAAACTTCGTCCGGGTTCCTCTCTGCCAAAGCAGAGAGTTCGACACACAGTCAGAGACTGCGGGTGACTCGATTCAATACCGATATTTAACAGTTCCCCCACAAGGAATGTATATGGCACAAGGCCGAGTTTAACGTGGGTTTCTCCGAGCCCGTAGGCTCGGCCAAAAATATACCCTTTGAACTCGCCTAAACGGGTTCAGGGCCTGTCTACCTCCCCGGACGAAACTTTGCCTTTCGGCAAAACTCCGTCCGGGTTCCTCTCTGACAAAGCAGAGAGTTCGACAAAAGTCGCACACAGTCAGAGACTGCGGGTGACTCGATTCAATACCGTTCGTCTCTCCTGAGAGGCGTAGTATATATAGCGTTAGGAAGAGTTCATTCTGTCGTTCTAGGTAGGAACCATGACAGCCTTGTACTTAGTAAAAAAAAAAAGACAACAAATATTGATCTAAGATTTTGTTCTTTACTGTGATCTGACTATATTGTACATTTAAACTTGCGTCATATATTCAGGAATATAATTTGTTATTATTTATTATTATCATGCTATAATTTGTTTTTTTTTTAGTCAGTGTTTTGTATTAATTCAGTGTCGGCTTCTTTATAACGCGGGTTTCTTGGGTGAAATTTGTCTGCGTTTGTTGGTAAAAGTGTCAGTGTATCCAATGCGGAAAATTACTTGCTATATTTTTTATCGGAACTCCCGCTATGGGACAGAGAGAAAGGCGTAACCAATTTGCTTTTATCTCGTTGTAAAATCCATTTTTTTTTCTTTTGCAAATATAGGAGGGATTCTTGTTTTAAAGGTGAATTATGACAGCTTGAAAATATTTTCGACCACGTGTTAACAATTTACTCTCTTTATTGTTTTGTTCCTTCTCTTCACTTTTATCTCTCTGCCTCTTTTAATTCATCCCTATACGCAATATATTCATTCCCTTTCTCTTCTCATCGCCCACCTTGACACTTTCTTTCTCTATGCTGGCCTTGATTTCTCTTTTAATTTCCTTTCCTTTCTTTTTCTTTCGGGGTCCCTCAGTGTAGAGTAATGCTGAGCGAGGCTCGTCTGGTTGGCCATTAATACGGAGTAATGAGTCCGGTTCTCCCTGAATGGGACATTCAAAAATTCGGAATTAAATAGCCCAATGAGGCTTGACGGTTTCTAAAATCAATTAAAAACATTTACATTTGTTTGTTTGTCTTTTGTCTTTTTCTTTGACTTTACTTTTCTTCTTTTTGTTTGTCTTCTCTCTCACACACTCTCTTCCTATAGATTCTCTCACACACACACGCACATATATATATATAGATGATATATATAGAGATAGATAGATAGATAGATAGATAGATAGATAGATAGATAGATAGATAGATGATATGATATGATATCTTGCATTTGTACAAGTGTTTTCTTTTCTGGACATAAGGTGTGTAAAACTATCCAAACGCTATCGGCTATTCTATTAGCCATTATCAAGGATGTTTTTTCATATATATATATATATATATATATATATATATATATATATATATATATATATATATATATATAGATTCGACTCCCCTGTCGAATTCGACGTATGAGGTCAAGTAGATCAGTTCCCAGGAAACCGACAGCCCGACAACACCACATGAGATTTGATTATAGTGATGAAGGTTTCGTGCAGGACCAAGGGCTAAATTTTGAAGGGCTAAATACAGAGACCTGGTGCACTACGTGCCACAAGGTCCCCTAACGACCCTCCGCAGGTTTTAAATTCAGAGTTGTCCTTCTCCTAGACCAGTTGCCCTCAAAGGCTATAGAACCCAGTCTGTCCTGCTATTTACCGATAGCTGGAGGGAGAAGAAGAGGATTCATACCTTTCTCAAGGGTATTAGCACATAAGTGAATGTAATGGATTCGGCAGGAATATATATATATATATAGATAGATAGATAGATAGATAGATAGATAGATAGGGAAGAGGTTATACTTGTTCCGACGAGAGTAAAGAATATATTTTAAAAAGAAGATAAACTGCAAACGTTCTTGGTTGTCATGTGGATTTTTTTTTATTTTAAAATGTATATTATATTCTATTTTCCATAATTCGCGTTTCTATATAGTATCGCGACTTACTTCAAGCAAAGCGTAGATATTTTCACATATTATAAAAATGAATTTATATAATATATAATTTTTATAATATATAAAATTCATTTTTGTAATATGTGGAAATATCTACTCTTTGCTTGAAGAAGGTAGCGAAACAAGAGACACGTATATCAGAATTATGGAAAATAGAGCATAATATATATTTTAAAATAAAAAAAATTCCACATTTCAACCAAAAATGTTTGGGTTTTATCTTCTTTTTAATATATACATACACACACATACATACATATATATATATATATATATATATATATATATGTATGTATGTATGTATGTATGTATGTATGTATGTATAAGTAGTAGTTGAAGTAATCTTATAAGTATAAGAAATTATACTCGTTCAGAAAACCTTCGGTATCTTGATTTGCAAATAATCAAACCAATACCAAAGGGGAAAAAAAGGTATAGAAAAAGAAAGAACCAAGAACATGTACGTTAGCCGAAAATAATCGTCCAGCATGCAAGTCCAAGGCCCAAAGAAAAAAGAAGCCGATACGAGTAGGTAAAATAACTAAATAAAGTGCTCGATACAGTAAGTAGAGCAGGCCTAGTTAAACCTAAAGAGCCAGACAAACCTACCAATTGAATACGTAGACATACATATTATAATAACGTTCACCCCCTATCAGGCTAAAGAATCCCTCATGATAGAGTGTTATTGAATAAGCTGTGTGGTATGAATGTAAACGGAAGTAGAAGAAAGTGATGATCATGAGAACCTAGACTTGAAGACGTTAAGAGAGTAATGTTAAAGGAAACATCTCCATAGGTGTTTGTTCGACAAAATAATAGTTAACTCCCCCCCCACCAAAAAAAATTAGTCTGAATCGAATTTTCTCCTTACAAGTGGAAATATGGGCGATTCGAACTCGCCTAGTTGTAAAGGGTCTGAACTGGGGAAGCTAAAGAGCGGAGCTCATCTCCCTCTCAGCTTCATTCCAGTATTTCTTTTCCTTTTCTTTCTCTTTATGTCTCTCCCTGTTTCTCTCTAAGCCTCTCTCTTACCCCCTCTCTCCCCCTCCTTCTCTTCCCCTCTCCCTTTCTTTTACTCTATATCTCTCTCCCCTAACCCTCTCTTTCTATCTATCTATCTATCTATCTATCTATCTATCTATCTATCTATATATATATATATATATATATATATATATATATCTACCATCCTTTTATTCATTGCACCCTGTTCTTATCTTTCTGGTGTCTTTATCGTATTCTTTCCGTTATCAGTCTTTCTGTTTTTCTTGTCCTCTATCAAATTTTCTGTCTTCTCATTCTTTCTTTCTTTCTTTTTTTCTTTCTTTCTTTCTTTCTTTTTTTCTTTCTTTCTTTCTTTCTTTACTTCCTTTCTTTCTATTCTTCATTCGCGTTTCATCCTTCTTTCTCTATCACGTATTCACACACAGACACACACACAGCTTTCTTTACCCTCTCACCATCTATGCTTAACCCTTTCCTTCATTCTTCATCCTTCTTCATTACATTCTCTTTAATCTCTATCCCTATCCCTTCCTCTCTCCTTCACTCCCATTTTACTTTTTCTTTATCTACCTCTCTTCTTTTTATTCTTTCTATCCTGCTCATCGCCTTTCCTCTTCCCACTCTCTTTCATCTCTCACGCTCTATCTCTCTCTCTCTCCCTCTCTTCCTTACTTCGTTCCAAGCTTTCTTTTTTTTATTCATTATACCTTATGTCTCTCTTTTCTTTTTAGTTTTACGTTTCTCAGTTAGACATTTCTTACCATTTTATTAAGTTGTTACATATATTCATCCGTTTTTTTTTATCTTGTATTGTGTGAATAATCTCGAAGAATGATCTTTCGTAGCATTTATTGGAATTGTATTCCAGATTATACACCCCTTTGAGATAGAATGCCGCGTGAACAAGAATCAGCAAGTTCGACATCTTCTCTTTGCTTTTGATCATGGCCACAAAGCCGCCAAAGCTGTTCAACACGTTTGTGCTGTGCACAGAGATGAAATATTTCAAAACAACCAAACGGTCAATGCTAAGCTATATGTTGAACAAAGGAACAAACTCTACGAAGCAATTCAGCTGAAAAGACCTGCCCGGCGATACAGTGTCATTGACAATGCTCGTATATGTTGAATATGTCCGGAGAGAAGACACGTCCTTGTCTTACAGCCTTACAATTATATCAGCGTTTATAGTTATATTATTAATCGATCTTTCTAATGATCATTATGACCCTTTCTGAAAGAGACAGATACTACACTGTGAGCGTCATATACTTATGACCGCGACGATAATATGTGACACCAGTTCGGTTTCACGTGTAATACCCGTATGGATCAATCAAAAAGAACTGGTCTGTCCCATTGACAACTGTCATCATGGAGTCAGGTTATTCTGATTTTCCTCTTTTGGTACGATGTTGAAATATTTCTGTAGGGTGAAAATGCTCGGGACCAGGCTTCTTTCATTGCTGAGCCGTGAACTGCCCAATGATGCAAGCACAAAAACTGGTGTTTGCTGTACTGAGATATGATAGAGGATAAAAACAGAAGCAACACTTTGATTCAAGCCACTTACCCAGGGAGAAGCATTATATATATATATATACTATTGCACCTATACACGCCTGCTTATATTTGCTCTGTTTATAATAAACAGTATTAATTTTACCGGTCTGAGTTTCCGAGAAATTTTCATTTTCGGAGGACGAATATTTCTATGAAAATTTCTCGAACATTCAGGCCGGTAAATGTTATTTAATACTGTTTATTATAAACAGAACATTTACTTAAATATTTGTATCTATAAAAAGAATGTATAAACATAAAAATGTCTTAAATATGTATATATATATTCGACTCCCCTGTGGAAATCGACGTATGAGGGTCAAGCATATCAGTTCCTAGGAAATCCACAGCCCAGACATCAGCACATGAGATTTAATTATAGTGGTGAAGGCTTTGTGCAGAACCATACACACCTTTTGAAGGGTCGATGTTGTGTCGGAAACCTACCACCCCTCTTGAAGATGAACTTGTCTGCGTCTGTGAACAAAGACTTTAAATAGTGGCATGTCAGTCGACATTAGGAGAGATAGACAAAGAAGTTCTTAGCTGAGCTAGTTATTGACTACTCAGGCGATTTCTGTACCTTTTTTACCAACCTATTAAAACCCTTTTTATTGTTACGTGTTATTTGGCGTTTGTCTCTACTAACCCCAAATCAATATCATAACAGTCGAATACAGAGACCTGGTGTACAAACGACCCTACGCAGTTTTTTTTTTTTTATTCAGAGTTGTTCTTCTCCTAGATCAGTTGCCATCCAAGGCTATAGAACTCAGTCTACCCTGCTATTTACCCATAGCTGGAGGGAGAAGAGAATTCATACCTTTCCGGGAGGTATTAAAACGTAAGTGAATGTAATGAATTCGACCGGAATTCGAACTCGGCTCTCCGATTCCTCAATCCAAGCCGCTATCCATTACTCCATCCTACCTCCCGAAAGTAGCATTTTTCGCTCAAAATTTAATTCTTGTCAACGTAAAATGTATATTTTGAGAAATTAAATTTTCATCTTTTTTGAGCGGTTGACGAAGCCTTTTTCGGGGATGTTGACTGCATTTGATTTGGATACATTGGATTATCACGTGTTTAGGCCCCACATGAAGAAAAATGTTCCACACATACGTCACTCTTGTTGCAGAAGTGTCAACAATGGATGCAGTGGCTTGACATCGCGTAGTCCAAGAAAGGAATATATGCATTCGTGTACTCGTCGGACAATTTCGGTGACGATTGCTGCAGCAATATAACAACAAAGTTTCTTTTGTGAAGTAATTAACATGTTTGATTACTAAATGTTTGCACGTAATCCCTCTCACATTAGACATTATAGATCGAAACAATTTAGATGCACATTCAACTTATATCTACGTGTCAATTTACCGGCTTATTGATCCAATTATATACAGAGGGTGCGATGGATAAATCGTCGTCTAAATTACGCAAAGATGAAAATATTAGGTTGGTGCAAAAATAATGACGTAATAATGTCGTTTTTTGATGTATTTTTTAACGTCAAAAAACGACATTATTACGTCATTATTTTTGCAACAACCTAATAACACTGGCATCATTTTCACAGATATGAAGGGTGCGATGGATAAATTGTCGTCTAAATCATGCGATATTAAAAATAACACTGACATCTCATTTTAACAGATATATTTACCAAAATTACATAAAAATGTCTACTAAAGAGTGAATTTATTCTATAAAATCGCCATTGTATTCAACTACGGCCTACCGACGACTTCTGAATATCCGGCAACTGTTCTGGACAGTTTCCGTGTTTAAGTTGGTGAATGCTGCCATAATCCTTGCCTTCATTTCATTTATGGGTTTACAAGAAGTTTTGTTGGTCTCTCGCTCAACTGCGCCCTACAAATAATAATCAAGGGGGGTGCAGTCCGGGGAGTTAGGTGGCTAGATGTAAGGGGTGATGTGATCACAGAAATTGTCTGACAGCCATGACTCGGTTCTCCTGCTTGTGTGACATGGTGCAGAGTCCTGTTGCCAGACACAGGGTTTTCCAGAAGCCATCCCTCTTGATCCAGGACAGCCCTACATCCTCAAGGTACTTGATGTAGGACTCCGTGTTTGGTTTGAGGCCCTGTGGGAAAATGAATGGCGCTATAACTTCGCCATCACTAGTGATCACTCCAAATACTATATTTGGTTTTCATCATTCTCAGTACATCCTTTAAGGACACAGCATCCTCTGTACTGTCCTTAGAAAAACAATGTTATTGCAGTTTGATAAAGCTACAAAAGACAAGTTTTTTTTTCTCTCCTTTCCTGAAGCGTGTATACATTTTTTGCCGTTTTCTGTATATAAGTGGTCGAGCGGTTAGAACATTATCGACAATGAAACCCGGTTTGAAATCTCTCCATAGTCGATTTGTCAAAAAGTTGGCTTCTCGATAATTTCGGCCAAGTGAAACGATTTCAACGTTCGTTATCGCTTGGAAGTTTCCGAGGACACTATACTACTGGTTGACCCATGCGTTGTGAATGAAATTGGTCAAAGAAAATGTTCGGAAATCCGCAATGGTTGTGATCGCGTGAAGTCACAAATCACACACGTAAATATCATACCATTGCACCCACAGTTTATTGCAATGGATATCGACACGGAAAGTGAAATACACCATTTAGATTATTCGGACTAGTGTCCTCATCTTTGTTGCTATATTTATCACGTTTCGGACGTTGCACGCTTCGGCCTTCTTCAGGGGCGTTGGAATGTCGAACTGAACCATTTATTTAGCTCGCTGGGGTAGACTGTTCTAGTCCCACGTGCCATGTCTAATGGATGTCAGTTATCTCCTGCCTTAATCCACCTCTCCAAGCTCTCCACTGCCTTAAATATGGCAACAAAGATGAGAACATTAGTCCGAATAATGTAAATAGTGTACATAATACTTCATATCAGAAATATAGACAGATACTGAATGGTGATAAATATGGCGACAAAGATGAGGACAATAGTCCGAACAATGTAAATAGTGTACATAATACCTCATGTCAGAAATATAGACAGATATTGAAGGGTGATAAATATGACGACAAAGATGAGGACAATAGTCCGAATAGTGTAAATAGTGTACATAATACCTCATCTCAGAAATATAGACAGATACTGAAAGTGAAGTAGACATGGCTAGTTTAATTCTCGCTCGACTTCTGTTTCGTTTTTTTTTTTTTTTTTAAATCATTTCACTTCAAACACGACAATAAAGCACATAATACGCCAGTGTTACTGAAATTGAAAGAATCTGAGAAAAAAAACTATAATAAGGAGAGAGGACAATAAAATAAGAGGTATTAAAGTGACAGACTAGTATTTACATTGCATTTAAACTTTTGGAGATCAACGGTGAGCCGAAGGCAAGAAGAAAGTTCTATAAGCGAGAAGATTGAGAGAAAAAAAACTGTTAGCATAGAACCTACGGCTACAACTATCAATTTCAACTGTAAAATGATGAGACCTAGCTGCCAATCTAGTACTGCGCTTAAATTCTAAAATTTAATACACTTTCCTCCAGCTATGTGTTAAATAGCAAGGTAGACGAGACTCGAGGGAAAGTTCGGAATTGAAAGCCATTTTGAAGTGTGTTAGGCTCTACCTGGCTATCTTGCCTGAGACACATCGCTGCTGTAAATATGGTGCCTCTCTGCCCGTAATGAGTAATCACAAATACACACACACACACACAAGTCTTTTTCATGTTACCCTCATCTGCCATAAGCGGCTCGAAACCAAAAATTGAACGATTTCTGAAATCTTATTTTGCGAAGTCAAGCCTGTAATAACGGTAAAATAAGATATTTTAAAATGTTTTCACCCTGTGATTATGTGCTTGTAAAAAAATATATATATATATTGCCCATTTTTACTAGCCACCTTAGCCTGCCACTGTTAAATTCAATGACATTTCATAAAACTATAATATAAAAATAAGGTTTTATTTACCAAAACAGAAAAGTAAAAATATTAATAAAAAAAGAAAATGTAAATGTCGATGTAAATATCAGCACAATGCCTGCCACTGTCATTCGTCTGTTTATTCGGGCCATTTAAGGCGAATAACATAATTTTACGTCACTGTATGATTTGACGCAGATGCCACTTGAGCATAAATCATGTTGTATATCAACAAAGTCTCGCCGAAGCAACGTGAGTTAATTTTATTTAGTTTTTCAGATCCCCCT